GAGAGGAGAGGAGAGGAGAGGAGAGAGATGTCATTGTTAATCTAAGAGAATAAAACAAAGCTGCTGACTGTCATAAGCACTTTTCCCTCTGAGTGCATATTTGACAGCACTGTGTGACAAAGAAGCATTTAGAAAGAAACACAATGTTAAGCCAGTGACAGATATGAGTCCAGTGTTGGGTGTGAATAATTCTTGTTACCTCATTTCACTATTTTTTCTCAGAAGACTCCGAGAAGACTCTTCTCTAATCCTGCCCATGCACATTTGCCAAGTCTCCAAACAGCTTTAGAAAACCTCACTGATGAGAGACCACCAACTTTACGATTTCTTGCAGCTCCCACTGTACATTTTATGGGTATTCAGCAATACTTTCCTAATGCTGCAGAAATTTCTCTTCTCTTCACTAGCACTAGACGTGTTTCATCAGCCGTCTCTCACTTTCTCCTCTCCTGCCTATATTCTCAAATTGCTGATTTTTAAGACGTATTTTTTCATAGAACTATAAAAATAGTGGATTTCTTTTTCCTTTTCATTTTTTTTTTTTTTTCAGATCAGGGACAGGACAAAAGTTGAGCCTGCCAAGCCTTTTTTATTTCTTTTCTGTTGTTGTTGTTGTTTAAATACTTCATAATAAAAGAATGTGCTCCCAATGGAATTTTTACTGCAAAGAAGAAAAATTCTCCCATTCTCCTATCCTACATCTTACACACTTCAAAACACACAGCAAAATTCTATACCTGTAAGACGGAGGTCTGCTCAGGTGCTGTCAAACCATTCAAGACGTCACGGTACATGGCACATATTTAAAAGTTAATGGAAGAAGGATTAAGGCTGCATCTCCATAACGCCTGGATGACTCAACTTTACACTGACAGACTCAGTGTGCCAATTGCAACGAGACTTTCTGTTTTTCTTCTACAGTAATCTAAAATTGTATAAGGAGAATGCTGGAAAATGTACATGGGAGCACACGTCCCTTCTTAACAAGTGCAGAGCCCTGGTTTTTCACAGCGTTTGGAAATGCCTTTCTGGTTTTCAGAAAGTACAAAGATACCAGATACATCACCCTTCAGAAAAGTTCAGGATGCTCTCCTGAGGATGAAATCCCACCATTTGCTGTCTTCCAGCCTGCTTTGGAGCCATTTTGCCATCACTTTCCTGCAGCAGATCTGTCCCCTACCTTGGGAGCTGAAGACAAGCCAACATCACAAACAACATCTACTGCTCAGTCTTGTCACTTAAACACTAGACTGTTTCAGCCTCCTTTTTCTATTTGTTATTTTTAAAAAAGATATTATTTGAAGAAACATTCTTGAGTTTCACAGCTATGTATTCCAACTCTACCAGTTCTAGCAGAGATGTTTCACAGTGATAGGTTTAGGAAATGGCACTGCAGCATCAAGGCAAGCTCTGCCCCTTACTGGGGCACTGCAGTCAGAATCACAGAATCAGAAAGTTGGAAAAGATCACTAAGATCACCAAGTCCAACCACAAACCCATCCCCACCATGCCTAATACCCCCTGTCCCTCAATGCCACATTTCCACCTTTCTTGAACCACTCCAGGGACATCATTGACTCCATCACCCCCCTGGTCAGCCTAAACAATGCCTGACCACTCTTTCTAAGAAGAATTTTTTCCTCATATCCATCCTGAACCACGCCTGGCATAACTTCAGGTTGTTACCTCTTGTTCTTACCCATGACTTTGAGTAATCCATGACTTTGAGTAACTCAGTGCTAGATGATGGTGGAGTGAGAGGTGTTAACACTTCTCCAGCAATAGTCTGCTTAGGATTTTACCCACACTCTCAGGCCCTTCACAATGGACTACCAAAGGGATTTCGTCCTTATTTATTTACTCATGAAGGTAGAGGTAACAGAGCTGCATGGCATGCCTCTTGGTTAGTGCTTGTAATGAAGCTAGTTTCTTGGTGGTCCTTGAAACTGAAGAACCACCCCTTTCCTATCCTACAAGAATGTGGCCACAGCTAAACCATGTCACAAAACATCTGCTGTATTAAATAGGGCTGGGTTGAGTCAACTTTGCTCACCCAAGGAAGGGCAATGGGGCAGCAGGACATCCTCATTGGTGGCACCAGCTTGGCTCTGCTATCACTGAAAGCTCACCTTGTGTGTACCAGTGCTCTCCAAGACCTGAATCTGGGAATACATGTCCCATAGGACACCACAGGGCTGTTAAAACGATGCAGCTCTGAGCAAAGACAAGGCTGACATTGAGAGTGGCCAGAAGACAGGAAAAAAGTTTCTCTGCTCCTCATAACCACAGCCCCACTCCCCTGCACTTCTCTCCCATGGGCAGGCAATTCCCTCCATCTGTTTTTCACCCTATGTCATCATTTTGGCACAAGGGTACTGTACAGCAGAATGAGCTGCTACCTCCATATGGCACACAGCAGTTGGCACAGAGCCGGGATTTATTGGCATTCTGTCCCCAAAGCACAAAGCCACGCTCCTCCAAGCCAGGATACCACACATCACGGTGGTGATTTCTGTGGGCAACATGGGCAACGTGAGCTCAGGCACTGCTGCTCATCTCCATCACATGGGGCTGGTGTGCCAAAGGGATCCAGCATCCTGCTTGTTTCAGTTAAAGAGCAACTTTCAGCTAAATAACTGCAGAAAAAGCAGTGGAGACCCTTTTAAATCTCTCTCTCTTTGGTTTAGCTTTGAGTAAGCTTTGATTTCAATCACCTCGAAAGCAAAGAGCAGCAAGGCAGTCAGATGGTAACACAGCAGCCCACAGGCACTTTGCACTGGTTGCAATGCGCCAGGTTGGTGTGCATGCAGCATCTGTGCTGCAGAGATGGCAGCTGGCACCACTGTGTCCTCTGCAAATGGGCACAAGCACCAGCACCCATGAGCAATGGACTGACTGGGGCCCCCCTCGAGCCCTCTTGTGATACCCATAACCACAAGGATACTAAAATGAGAGGAGAAGGTCTGACACTGGGTATGTGACCGGGGTCACTCAGGTTTAGGTTTCTTCTTGGAAGCACTCTGTATCACAGCCACACCAAAAGAGTGGCTCTATAACCAACACCCGGAAAATATCCACGCCTTAAGGTCAAGAGGGAAAAAACAAATGGTGCAAATGGCTGCAAATTCCTTTGTTCTTAGTGGGCTTCACTTATTTATCCCCCAGAACAGTTTGCTCTGTGGAGTCAAGCTAGAACAGCAAAGGATTGTAGATAGCCAGAATTTAACGCTGACACTGAAATTTGGCCAAGATCTTGTGTTTAATCCTCCTTCTCCTGTTAGAAGAGCCTCAGAAAGTTTAATGTAGGCTTCCAGGGAATGCCAAATCTCCTGAACAATGAGGGCAGGTGCTGCTGGAGAGGCTGGGGCCCCTGCCACCCCCAGAACATTGGGATAAAACAGGTCAAAAATCCCTTTGTTGGCTCTCATCTTAAAGACTGAAATCAGGAATAAAGATGAAGAAAATAACCATCAGTGGTAGTACTAGTAGCAACAGATCAACAACTGAGCTCAACTGGCTCACCTACAGTCCTTCTGCAAAAGAAAACCAAACTCCAATGACATCTTGGACAGAGGATCTAAGAGAAGGGGCAGCAGGGCCACAACAGGGTGCTGAACCAGGACTCAGCACACCTTTTCTTGGATTGCCCCAATACCTGACCTCAGCAGAATGAAGCAGAGGACTTGAATGAACCACCAGGCAGAGCTTGCCTTGCTCACGGACCTCAGTTAGGTCAATTAGTGAGAGCTCCCTTTGCTCACCTCACATGGTCCCAATGGCTGCAGGGTAGGCACGCCATGGAGGAGGGTTAGGAACCAATATCCCTCTTCCAGCAGTGAATTCAAGCATCTCACACCTTACATGCCAATGACTCTCAATATGCTGTTGTTTAAGGGGTTTGAGTGATTACCACAATAGAAGCCTAAATAATGGAGATACTTCTAAAAATGACACCCACATTTTCCCACAATGTTGCAGGAAGTTTATTCCCAGCACCAGCAGTGTTCTTAAGCAAACCTTTGTCTCTTTGCAGCCCTCCCTTCCAACCTGGCTCTGCCATGCTGGTCTGCACCCTCATTAGGATGGGGAAGGGGCATTCAGGGTGCTCAGGGGTCAGCAGGACACAGCTCATGGCCCGTAGCAATTACCCTCAAGTCCAGGCTCCATGGTTCTACCTGTGAAAACCAGGACGGACTTTTGCTGCAAGAATAATTATCGGAAGAGGATCCAAATTTGGTAGCAGAGTGGTAACAGAGGAGTGGACTTTGGGGAGTAACAAAAGGCAAAGTGGCAACAGGAAAGATATTGGGGTGGGTGTCAGGGCTTCTCTTGCTTTCCATCCTGCCACAGGGCTCAGGGCACCATTAGCAGAGCTGCATGAAGTCAACAAATCATAGAATGGCTTAGGTTGGAAGGGACCTTAAAGATCATTGCTTCCAACCTCCTGCCATGGATAGGGTTAAGGGTCAGGCAGCCCCAGCTCACAGATCAGGATTTCAATGAGGGAAATGAGTGATAAGAGAAGTGGTTGTTGGAAACCAAAGCGAATCCCGATTTTCCATAGGGAGGAAGAGGGATGAGGGGAAAAATGAAAAAACAAGCACACACGGTGGGTCACCGCAAGTCTCCGGGGGGCAGGATTTCTCTTCCATCGCATGGAAGAGCGAGATTAAAGAAGAAAGTGGGAGTGGGGTGGGAGGGAAGGGAAGGGGAGGGGGGGATGAACAAAGGAGATTGGCAGCACAGCTGTTTTGGGAAGAAAAAAAAAAAAAAAGCCAGCCTTCCTGTTTCTTTAAAGCCGCTCATCTGCGCGGCGGGCCGGCTGCCGGCGGGGAGAGGCGGGCTGCAGGGAGCCGCGCACGGACGGACGGACGCACGGACGGACGCACGGAGCGAGCCGGGGCTCCGCTGCCCGACGCGGCCGAGCGGGCGCAGATGGGCGGCGGCGGCGGGAGGAGCGGGGCGGCGGCGGCGGCAGCGGCAGCGGCAGCACCGGGAGCGGAGCGGCGGGGCGGGCGCTGAGCGCAACCGCGCATTGCCCCGCGCCATGCGGAGCACGCCGCTGGCCGAGGGCGAGCCCTGGCCTCGCCTCTGTCCCGCCGCCGAGCTCGGGGGGCTGCGGCGGCTGAGACGCAAACACGGCTGCAAAAGTTTCCGCGTGGAGCTCAAAGTGCTGAGCGGGCGGCGGTCGGGGCTCCGCGCACCCCCCGCTCCTCCGCCGCCTCCCCCGGCTCCGCCGCCCGCTTGGGAACCGCGCGGAGCCGCCGCGCTCGGAGCCGCCGCCAGCGCCTTCCCCGCCCCGCCGCCGCCTCCGCCGCCCCCCGCCGCCGCCCGCCCGCAGCCTCCGCCGCCGCCTCCCGCCGCCTCCCCGCGCCCGCGGCCGGGCGAGGCTGCCGGCGTCTCGCCGGAGATCAAAGCCCTGCAGCAGACGCGGCGGCTGTTGGCCAACGCCCGGGAGAGGACCCGCGTCCACACCATCAGCGCCGCCTTCGAGGCGCTGCGGAAGCAGGTACCTGCCGGGCCGAGGTGCCGGGAGACGGGGTGCGGGAGGGATGCGGTGACAGGAGGGGATGTCGCCTGGGAGCGCCGAGCGTGGAACTGTGCGGGACCCAGAAACAAGGATTTTTCATTTGTTTGCGGTGGGAACTCGGGATTTTTTTCCGTTTCTTTTTCCCCCGGAGACAGAAGGGCACGGAGGAGAAGGCAGCGCAAGCGAAAAAGCCCTTGGGAGCATCACCGCGGCTCGCTGTGTGCTCCATGCAGCAGCACGTGTGCGTGCCGGCGTGGGCTGTCCTGGGGGGAGCCCAGGGCACTGGGGTGGGATTCTTAAGCCCATTTAGAGGGGTTTCCCTCTGAAGCTTTCATTGTGGCTCTGGCTGAGCCCAGTGGTGCACCTTTCCCAATGAGTTTCCCATCCCAGGGAGTTTCCCGTGATTTTTCCGGTAGCTTTTGCTTGATATGTGTACAGTGCTGGGCTTTCTTCTTCAGAGAGCTTAGGAAATCCTCGTGGTGTTCTGGGAGTGAATAATAGAGGTGATCTCGAAGGTGGGGCTTCTGAGAGGTGAACAAGTTGTGGAGAAAATTCCACCATCTCCATTGCCCTCCCCAATATGTGGAAGGGGAGGGGAGAGCCAAAGGAGGGAGCAAGGCTGTACCCCAGCGTTACTGTTCTCATTTCTTCCCCATGGGGATAAATCAGTGTCCAGCCCTGATCTGACCCCCACATCTCTATCTCTCCCCCCTCCCAGCCATCCTGGCTTTGTTCCCCTTCCACCAAACACCAGCAGAACTTCTCCAGGTGCCCACAGCTCACAGCCCTCTGAGCCTCACATCTCAGAGAGATGCTGAGCATCACATCGCCCAGACCCATCCCTCCAGAGCTGTGTGTCAGGAGAGAACTGCTGGTGGGCACCTAAAGCAGAGGGGCTTCAGTCACTGTGTGGCACTCGCTGCCTAACAGCATTAACCCAGGATGTGTCTCCGGTGCTGAGTTTGCCATTTGAAAATGTAAACCCCAGGCGTGATCTATTTTGTTTCTCTGAGTTGTTTCCCTATCTCGGTTGTTTGGTGGCTGTGTGTAACGTGTTTGGAAGTGTCAGTCTAATTCTCCAAGGACAGACATCTACACCACTGAAACCGCAAGGGGAAGTAGCTCTGATTTCCCAGCTCGCTGGCAGTCTTGTTCTAGGCTGAGCCTCAAGCAGAAGTCAGGCAAGCAACAAATTAAAGCCGCACTCTTTTGGGAAATGGGCAACTCTTGAAAAGCCTCAAATTCCTGGCCTTGGCCCTGCGTCCATAAATCATTTCAGCCCAGGACTCAGCTGGGAGCCCAAAGAGCCTGGAGAACAAGTTGCTGTCCTCTCTTCCCATGAAAGCCAGTCTCCAGGGTCAGCGCTGGAGCGTACTGGCAGAGCTGCGCTCACTCTGCGGGCAGAAAGAAATCATTCTCTGGGAAATGTTTGCTGCGAGGTTTTCCTAGCAATTTGCTGAGGGGTGGGCTGGCTGTCCTGATCAGCATTGGATGACATTTGGATTCATTTCTCCCCGGGCTGCCAGCAGCATGCTTGGTGCCGTACGTGACATCAGGTGACAGTCGGCTTCATTGCACATAGGCGCAGTGCTGGCTTGTCACTCAAATCGTTCACACCGGTGCTGCGGAGTGGTTTTGGGATCAGGACAGAAGAGGGGAACTCTCTATCTGCACGATCCCAGCCAGCAGGGCTGAGAAGCAAGAGCATGGAGAGGTTTGCTTTGGGATAGGAATGTGCTGGAGAGCTACTTCCTGAGGTGCTGAAATCAACAGGTCTGTGATGAGGACCGCAGGCGCACCCAGCCTGCGCTCCTATAGGAAGGGGTTGGTGTGCAGGAGCTGGTGGTACCTGCATGGATTCTATTTCCTTCCCACCCTGATGGGTACATGAGGCTGAAGGTGCCCACCCATGATGACATGGAATTGTAGAATCATTTGAGTGAGTAGGAAAGCACTCCTAAAGGTCATCTGGTCCATCTCCCCTGTGATGAACAGAGACACCCACAGCTCCATCAAGTGCTCAGAGCTCCGTCCAGCCTGACCTTGAGTGTCTCCAAGGATGGAGCATCCACTACCTCTCTGGGTCAGCCTGTTCCATTGCCTTATCACACTTGAAGGCAATTGGTGAAACGCTGGTTGTCACAGGATCAATCCCACTGTAGGGTACCTGGTTGTCTCAGGTGAGGAGGAGGACAGGCAAGCTGTGTCTCTCCATGAGATGCCCGGTGGCAGCCCACCGTAGGGGAGTGGCTGGCACACAGTGTGCCAGGCAGATGGGCTCAGCAGCTGTGTGCATCTGGCACACATGTTTCGACTCATGGACCCAGTTCTCCAGAAGGCTTTTTGTTGTCACTGCTGTCAGTTTTGGAGGAGGAAAAGCCAGCCATAGGCATTTCATACAAGGAGGGAATTATCCAACCATGGTTCTGAGCACTTGGCTGTGCCAGAGGTGGCAGATAGATGGGCAGCTGTTGGCTCTGGAAGGAGGGATGTGTCATTGCCATCGTCCTCACCCTTTTGTGTTATGGCCAGCAGGGATGTCTCACCATATGAGTCCCATAAAGCAAGACCAAAGAGCAGATGCTCCCAAGATGCAGCTCCTTCTCCACAGTCCTCCCTCTTGTGCTGCTCAGCTATTCATTTGGGAGATTTTTTTGCTCTCTGAATTCCCCAAGAATCATTTATGAAAGTCTTCTTTTGATGCAGGACTGGAGGCTAATAGCATAGTTCCCCATAGAGATCACACTTCACTGCATACCTGTTGCAAAACACATTAAAGAGGAGGAAATAGCTCTGCTGTGCTTTGCTCTCACTCTTTAAGTATCCCTGCTGAGTGCTGCTCCTGTCCCTCTTTCCACCTCCCACCCTGGGACACCCACATGGCTGCTGCTCTGTGGGTTCTTGCACCATCCCATTGCCCCAAGATGCCATGGAGTTGCAGTAAGAGATGAGAGACCTGTTGTCACTTGCATCTGTTTTCTCTTGTGCTCCCTGCCCTTGTGGGTGGTCAATGAGCCCAGCGTTGGCGATGTGGTGATGCAGCAAAGAGCTCATGGAACGCAAGGCCATTGCTTTGCTCCTTTGCGTTCTCATCTTCACATCTGGCAGATTGCAGCAATGCAGTGGTTTCAAACTAAAAGAGGTGAGATTTATGCTGAATGTTAGGAGGAAATTTTTACTTGGAGGGTGGTGAAGCCCTGGCACAGGCTGCCGAGAGAAGTGGTGGATGTGCCGTTCCTGGAGCCATTCAAGACCAGGTTGGGTGGTGTAGCCACCTCCTCTGCTCCTGTAGGGCTCTCCATGGTCACTCAAGTATGCCACCATCCAGCAGCACATTTTGCATGTGCAGGGGTTGTGGTCGTGCATCTCAGCTGTACTGACAGACCCTAAGGTGGCAGCAGTCTCTCCCCTGATAGCTGGAGACAATCCCAGCCGCCTCTGATCTGGAGCCTGCCCATGCCTCACATCTGTTTTCTCTCTGAAGCACTGCTGTCCAGCTCTTCCTCAAAGCAGCATGTGAAGCCTCTGAGCTAGAGTCTGCGCTGGGAGCAAATGTGTCCACAGACATTAATTTTCCCTTCAAGTGCATTGGTGTTTTCCTAAATCTTTTCACCACTGCATTACCAGGGCTCTCTGCTTTTGCAGTTGACAGGCTCGTTCTCTACACTCCTGTGGGTTCTGGAGATATTTTAGACTTTTATGGGGCTTTTTAGCTGCTGGGGCTGTTTTTTTTTTTTCTTCCTAGTATCCTTTTGCTTTGAGCTGCCAGTGTGCATGTGACTGCTGTGGTTTGTAGTTAAATGAGTGTGGGAAGAGCCCACTCCCTCCTGTGGGGAGACATTAGGAGGCTGCAGGGTGCTGGTGGGAACCATCTCCAGGGATATGCAGAGCCAGCGTAGGTGCTGGAGGAAATTAGGAATCAGAGAATCGTAAAGGTTGGAGAAGACCACTAAGATCATCTGGTCCAACCATCAATCCATCCGCACCGTGTCCCTCAGTGCTACATCTCCACATTTCTTGAGCACCTCCAGCACTTCCCTGGGCAGCCTGTTCTAATAACTAACCACACTTTCTGAGAATAAGTCCCTTCTATATACAACCCGAGCCTCCCCTGGCACAACTGAAGGCAATTAGCTCTCATTCAGCTGGCAGACCAACTTGAGAACCTGCAGCTTGAGCCACAAACCCACGGAGGCTGTGGCTCTTTGGTGGATGTATCCACCTATGCTTGGCTGCTTTCTGCACCTTATTTTTGGGATGCACCATTGTGTGTTCACCCTCTGTCATAATATCACAGAGGTTGGAAAGGCCACCAAGATCATTCTGTCCAACCATCCGCTCATCACCGCCTTGCTAATTAAACCACGTCACCCAATGTGACATCTGTTTGAAAACAACTGAAATTTGTCACCACCATCATATGCAACCAGTGTTGGTTGTATCTTTGCTGCTAAGGGGAGGCTGAGAGCTCCCTCCATCACCTGCTCATGGGGTCTCCCAGGGCTGCATTCCCCACGTGAGCAGCCCAGCATTAGCTGGGGCAGCTCAGCGGTTTGAGCCAGCCCTGGGTGATGCCACAGTTATTTAAAGTGCAGTTGAAGCAGAACTGCGAGGCACTGGGGCTTAACAGCTAAGGAAGATGACGAAATACTGGCCAGGAGCAATGCAAGTGGAGAGAAAAACAAGGGAGAGCATGGACAAAAGCATAAAAATCCTGAAAACAATGGCTGTGTGTCAGAAAGGAGGAGGCTTCTTTGCTCCCCTTGCTGTCTAACTGATGTTATCCTCTGACACAAATCCCATTCCTGTCGGGAGGTATTTGCTTTGCGTGCTGCAGCCACCCTGAGTTAACCTCTGTGTTTTCCTATGGCTCCCGCTGAAATCGGAGGAAGGAGTCTGCTTTGAATCCAGCAGGCTTTGAGTGCAGCCCCTGCTCCCTGCCTTTAGCTGTTCTCAGATTACTGCCCAGGCTACAGTCC